GAACACGTGGCACACGGGTGTGTGCATTGAGACGCGAAACGCAGTTTTAGGAATGCTCATCTGTGACCCCTGATCTTCTCTCACCCCCCGTTCCTTTCCTTTCGTATTTCCTCCGTCCCCTCGTGCGATCACATTCCGCGAATTCAACAATAATAATCCGCGAGGTCGGTAATTTTCCAACAATAAGAGACAACATTTCCTTTCCCGCCCACCTGGACGCGGGGGTACCTAACGGAAAGGAAAATAGGATCGACCGGCTTAGAACGTCCACGGGAGTGCGAATGGAAGCGATCGATTGTTTACGCGAGCGGTCTGAAAGGGGATCAGGTAGACGTCTAACCAGACTTCCGTTCCGCATTATCTTTAACGAGTTACCGGAAAGTTTCTGTAAGAGAACCCCTGGGAACTCAGGTGGGGGACGGGGGAAGAAGGTGACTCGAAAGCGGAGGTGCGCGCCCCAGGACGAAGGGTACGAAGAAGGAGGAGGAGGAGGTGGAGGAGGAGGAGGAGGAGCGAGGAGCTTCCTGCAAAGAATATAAACAATGCGTTTTAATTAGAGTCCCTCGCCCCGATGAATGCACAATTGTTGCCCCCGGGGGGTTTTACACTCCGACCTCGACGTAACAGCCTCCGCGTTTCCATCTCTGCTTCCGGTAGGTAACGCTGCGTGCCGTGTATATCAGATGCCCCTGACGTGGATAAAACTAATTTCTCTCTTCGCAGAGGGGGAACGGTTCATTTTTGCTGCATACTAATAGCGCGACTGCGTATTACGGCGGCGACGGCGGCATCCACTTTCTATTCAGCGAACGTTCGAGGAGAGCGACGTAAATTGAAGTCCCGTGTAGAAATGATTTTCTATAATGCACGCGCGCAACATAATGCTCTCCGCGCGGCAAACAGGCGGCTAATAACCGGTCATTAGAGTCACGTGGACCGCCAAATATGACGCGCGCGTCGCCGTTGAATTATTTATCACTGGAAAGTGGCAAGTGAAATGTGAAAATGAGGATACGAAAAATGTTGCACACGCTCGGTGTGTATGTGTGTGTGTCCTAGGAAGAAACACCCAATTATTGACATCCCCATTTAAGCGTCGACATTCTGGAAAAACCTGCTTTTTCCCGCGACCAACGGCATCTGTTCGTAGTTTTAGTCGTGGAGATCTCTTTTGAGGTCGTAGAGTGCAGGCGGAAACTTTAACCGCAATGCTGGTCGCAAGAAAGACCGGGTTTCTCTAGAATGCCAATGACTAAGTGCACTAAAAAAAAGTCTTGCAGTCACATAGCGAAAATTATCTAGATACGAGAAAATTAGAGTTGAGGTGAATAAATGATTGCAAACACTATGATATCGCATATGTTCTGTATTTGATCAGACAACAGAGACAGAATTTCCTACTGAATTATTTATGAAAGATTTGATAGACGACAGAATTCCCGTCTGAATTGCTTGTGAAATTTAGCGAGAAAGTGGCGTCCATCCAGACCAAAATTCTTTTCAAAATTGACTGTAGTAAACTAGCGAGACTAGTGAGAAGACTGTATGAGTATAATCCTCACACTCATCTAGATTTGCTTGCAAATATTGCTAGAATGTTATTTGCTGTAAATTCTGCGTACCACATACAATTTTCTAAAAGACTTAACAGAAAACAGCGATACATTTCAACTGTGACATGTAAAATTCTACCTAGACCAAGTATTTATTCGAATTGGGAGAATGTCAACAATTATGTGTTTCACCCAATACATGCGTTCATTGTTTCGCGGGGATGTCTCATTACAGAATATTACGCAAATCGTATCACTCCCATGACGAGAGGATAAACGTTAATTGATCCTATCCCCTCTGTTACGCAAAGTGTCACGTGTTTCTACGAGGATAATGATCGAAAATCGGACGAGATTTGTACCCTTTTGTATCAGTTTTGCAGAGACCCGGCGGCGACATCGGCGGCGCTCCTCGCGACAAAAGGTGGAGGAACGCGCTACGAAATTCCGCAACAATCGACGGTAAACGTGCCTTTTACTTGAACACGTGACAATAATTCCGTCCGGGGAATCGCGCGGCCTGCGATTGTCCTCGCGCCGCCTTCGCGTCAGCACATGTATGCGTGCGTGAGCCCGAAAGTCCTGGCAGTAGCGTGCGACACACGTGACCGGCTTACATAACGCGACGCCCATTGTAATGCGCAATGACAACGTCGTGTGTTAGCCCCTGGGTCTGATGGCAACGGGGTGTTGTTACGCGGTTGTCCCTTGTCGCGGCGGGCCTCCCTGGAATTCCGCGATGAGGCAATTTATTCCGATTTCGAGGACCGACCCCTGAATCTTCGGCATCGCTTACGCGATCGCGACCACCTGTCCACTTGTTCCTGAAGAAGCGTGCCGTCGTCTAATCGACCCCGCTCTTTTCCCGATTTAGCTAGACTGTGCCGTGTGTAAAATATCGGAGACCCTCCGACGCGAAAACTTTTCACAATGTTTGATCGAGGAGTGTGTTCCCCGAAAGAAAGGGGGAGAGAGATTCAATTTTACTGTTACGAAAGTGATTCATATTCCGCGCGAGCAGTTTTCTTTGCGATCGTAATTTGAAGCACTCGATTTGTTCCGTAGGATGTATGTCGAATACCTTTGGCATTGCGAAGGTGACAAAATAGACAAAATTCATTATATCGCGCGCACGTATGTGTGTCCGGAGGAAATATTGTAGTAAAAATTACAAGAAAACCTTTGTAATTCCCGTACAGCATTATGACCGAAATCACTGCATTGAAAGAAAAATATTTAAACATTAACAAATATTTATTAGGTGGGTTACATGGAATAAACAATACTTGGTTTAAATAAAAAGAATTTAAATTTAAGTAAATATATTAATGACACTCATCTAATAAATATTTCTTAATTTTTAGATATTTTTTTCAGTGTACGTGTATTTGTTTAAGAATGTTTAACAATGCATGTTTAACCTCTTGCTATAAAATTATTGTAATTATGTTGTTTTTACACCGTACACTAAGAGAAAAAAATATCTAAAAAATGAGAAATATATCTACATATCCGCGATGGACACCAATAATATATTGTACTAATATTTACATATTTTTATTACATATTTTTTTACTGTTTTTACATATTTTTATTACAAGTGAAAAAATTTTCTTTCGAATGAGAAAATATATATTTTCCTAAAACACCGTTGTTTTTCTGAAAGCAATTGGTTACCCTATTTAAACAAAAATATTCGAATTTAAGTAAATATAATTATTGTGTATCCGTCGAATAAATATCTTTTATCTTTTAGAAATATTTCCTCTCGCAGTGTATATATATTTATGACAAGTAAACCTACCTAAAAAGTACACTTTGATTTCTTCCTAATTTGGGAAATGTATTAGGACCTTAACTTAGTCTCCGCCCGCAAATGTTAGATGGCAATGCAAACAGTTCTAGTAGTTATTACTAACGAAACAGGTAGTTTGTGATTAATTTCGACATTTCTCGATAACATTCAGTCAGCATACACAATTATTTTCCTAAACAACAATTTCTTTTGCTTTGTGAAAAATGGAACGCGATAAAGTGTTTTTTCGACATGTGCTTTTGCACTATTTTGATTTGAAAAAAAGTGTA